TGTACTTGATAACGTCAGTCAGCTCGCCTTGGCTACTCCTGTTATCTACACTGTATGTATACAATATGACGATATATGATATCAAACATCACTGCCTGTTTTCGTTTTCATTTAAACATATTAATAGCCACAAAAATGTAGTTCAGGGAATGTACATACATTACAGTGAAATGAAATATTATATCAAACAGCATTGCCTCTTTTCTGTTTCATTTAAAATATTAATAGGCTCACAAAAATGTGGTTCATTCAACAAATACACGCATTACAATAAAACGAAATGATATCAAGCACCACTGCCTTTTCCTTTTCTTCAAAATATAAAACACAACCCTTTTCGTTTTCATTTTAAAAATATAAAACATTAATATGTGGTTTAAGTAATATGTACAGTGCACATATACTCCGATTATCTTCACTGAATGTATAATAAAATGAAATATGACAAGCACAACTGCCTTTTTTTTGTTAAATGTCAGTTTTAATGAACAAAATAGCCATTATAAAAGAATAAGTATAAAGTATAAGAGACTTATGTAATAGGAAATAAAGACAAAAGCAAACAATTCGGTCAAATGTATGCAACAAAGTCAGCGTTGTATTACGATTAATAAATAAATAATTTATTAAACATAACTTTGTGATCAGCCAAAACGATATGACCTGGAAGAAATAATAGATTCATGAGACCAAAGATTGCCTGTTAGATTTACCCAAAATAACTTTTACCTCATGTTTAAGAGGCATCAGAGCCAGCGGTAAATGTCAGAAGGACTAGCTGAGGTGAGGCTGCTCTCAGCGGATACATGAGCACTGAGCTCCCGGTGATCGCGTGGAGCTACGTCTCCGTAATCGGCGAAGCGCCTATTTGAAAATTTGCTATCTTTATAAATAAACCGCAGATTTGAGTTTTAAACAACTACATTCTCGCCTGAAATACTCTTAGAACTGCATTTCATGACACAATAACAGTAATATTTTGACAATTATGCAGGTTTTCTCCTCCGCCATTAACGCTTGCTGGTTGGTGCGAAATGCATTCTGGGATACCTGGCTGCCTCAAGTTCGCACAAGTCACCTCTGGATGCATCCTTGATAAAACGGGCGGAGCAAGAACACATCCGGGAATTTGAACTGTACTTGGCTAGATGTGAACTTTGAATTGGAACAGTACTTGGGCAACGACTGATGACGTTTCACAAGAACACAAGTACAGACAAGAACGCATATTGAGAAACGGCTACAGTCACTGGCAAGTAATAATAGGAGAAACAGAGCTTTAACTCTGAGTGAATTGAAACAATTACTTTGCAAAATGATTCCCTGGGCGCTTCTCATTTCTTATTTTTGCATCCACGTATGTGTGTATTTGATGTGCTTTTTATTTTCATAATTGTATTTTAAACAGCTAAAAAAACCCGTATTATTCAGTTATTTATTTCACTAGGGGAAAATGCATAAAAAGAAGTGGGCTCTTTGCAAACCAAACTTTTCACATTTTATAAATGACTTGAAATTATAAACAAACCTCCTTGAAAAAAAGGTAATGTTTTAAAAGCACTTGTTCTTGTGGCATTGAAAAAAATCCTTTTCCTCGCATCTTAGCTCCACCCCCTTAGGATGCGAGGAAAGAATGCAAGGGAAGGAAGGAGGACAGAGGAATTGAAGGAAAGCTTATCTGTATATTGGAATATTGTTCCAATATACAGATACAGTGTTACGTCCGGTGTTACTTACACAAACCAAAAGCAAATGTTTTGATGATTTGATCTATAATCTACAAATCATTAAATGGTAAATACTAATCATAAAACATGGAGTATCTAGTATTTTGAGTTTTATTTGGCTAATCAGGCCAATTAAGGCCATTTAGCCCTTACAAGTGCACTGACTATTGAAGTAGGGAGTTGATTGAGATGCACCCAGAAATTTAGTTTGAATGTATTTTTTCTTTCTGTTAATTATTGTCATCTTAAACATGGACATTGTCTACACACAGAAAAAATCCCCGTGAAGGAACTGAGATCCACATAACACACTGTTATAAAGATGGCGTTTATTAAAGAGGAGAGTGAAGACATTAAGATTGAAGAAACATTCAGAGTCAAACAAGAAGATACTGAGGAAGAAACAGGTTAGTTTTCATTCCCGTTTGATCCTTATTAAAGGGATAGTTCACCCAAAAATGAAAATTTGATGTTTATCTGCTTACCCCCAGGGCATCCAAGATGTTTCTCGCACAAACCGATCGTTTCGTGTCTTAGGACATCAATGTGTCATCACGAGCCGCAGGGTTTAATTTGGATTTGTCTGTGCATGTTTTTTTTACTCTCATAGATTTTGTTACCATTGCCATGCATTATACGACTGATAGACTGCAACGGTTAAAGTTAAAAATCATCAAATGTGTTCTACTGAAAAAACAAAGTCACCTACATCTGGGATGCCCTGGGGGTAAGCAGATAAACTTCAAATTTTCATTTTTGGGTGAACTATCCCTTTAAAATGTTGACCTCTACAGAAATTACATTTTTTAATTAAATTAATTAAAGCGGTTTTATTTGATATGGATCAGTTCGTTGAGATCACGTGACCAGACAAATGCTAATTCTCAGGACCTAAAACTAAACATTTTTGCCATGCCCATCAATGGCCGGTGACTTGAGAAAATGTACTGGCCATAAATATTTTTTACCGGCCATGAAACAGTGACTACTACAACAACTAAACATACTTAATAAAAAACAATAAAAGTATATGTAACCATTTGAAATTAGAGGCAAACACTGCATTTTAATTACAAATAAAGATGCTACACACATGTAGCATGAGCGGTTGTAATTTCAAGATTTAAAGCAAAAATATAATGGTCTGTCTTTATTTTTGTGAAATTATGCTGCATAAAACAAGTTTGCACAAAACAGCAGATGGGCTGAATGAGAATGCAAATTCACTTTCTGACAGCAGGTGGAACTTACGGAACAGCATTGATATACTGTTTCCTTGGTTACCTCTGTACGCAAAGCAGTGCTGCGCTTATAAACACTATTTTAATATGCATTATATAGAGGTATAAGGAAAAGAAAAGTCCATTGAAACTTTTCCTAAGACAGTCAGTTCCCTTTAGATATAAGCTACATTCGTATAAAACCTCACACTAATACTTATGTCCCCCCCCCCCCCCC